GTCCTTTCATCTTCAGGATAAAAAGGATCACCAGCACAATCGCACAAAGAAGGTTGGAAAATTCGCAAATTTGTAGCATGGTTTCAGAGAATTTCCCTTCAAAAGGCCGGCTGGCAGAGACGGAGCAATCTGTATGCTGGCTGAGCAAGGTAAACAGACAAGTATCAGCAGCCATTCCATTTTATAGTCCACCTACTCAAATACTTACTATGAAAATGACTGACGTTGAAAACACTAAGATCAGAAACCTGGTTCATCTTTAAATTTACCGTTTAAAGAACTGAAACATTGTATGTGGGCTACAGGAAGTTACTTACGATTTAACCTTCAACTAAGCGTGGAAGACGCTTGCAGAGTATTGACAGTGGTATTTCTTGGGGCGTAAAAACAATTTTCAACTCGGACTGATGAAATACAAACTGAAAAATGAAGCGACTGAAGTAGACAAGTAGATGTCGTGCGATAAGTCACCTCTTGTTTCGAAATCAGTTTTAACCGTCAGTGTACAAAAAGGAACATATTCAGCGATAATTTCTTTCTTTCTTTCAAACCGGAAAGTGTAAACGTGCGAAGTAATGGCCGGCTTTTATCTGCTTGTTGTTAGTTTTCCTTTCCTTTCCTTTGTTTGTCTCAAATAGCCTACAAATTACTCTTTACCACAGGCAAAATTCCTGAACCCCCGCCTCTATATGAATAAAGAATACTGTAGGCTCTAACTTCAAAAGTAAAATTCAGTTGGTTTAAAACTTAAAACAATTTTTGGCTTGAATATGTTAAAGGCGCTAAAAACAATTAAGTTGCCTGTGATGTAACCTCTGGTGCCTCTTTGTGGCTGCTTCATTTGTTTTTTATCCCTTCTGCATTCAGTATTGTTTGGGCATGTTTGTCTAAAGTGTCGTACAGGCAAATTCACCATATTCATTACTATTCAGAATAGCCTTTGGTAAAGGTAGATATTACGACGAGGAGGTTCATCTGCCGAGGGACTCTAAGCAACCAGGCAACGAGGAAAATGTCGATGAAAACAATTCTATATATTTCTAAGGAAGTTTGGGAATGGGTGGATGTGTTCACCATCTCAAATGGCGCCAGTCTAACCTCAACTTTAGAATAATTATAGCTTGAGGGAGCAGCGCTGAGTTCCAAATACAAAACGTAACTGATAATTTACAGTCGTCAGTCATCATTCTATTTATAAGTTCCACCAATGGTTGTAAAATTTTAAAGATGTACGTACTGAGTTATAGTTCTGCTCAACAAATAAAAGTAAAAGCATCAAAGAAAAGTCAATAACAACTCTATAACTTAAAACAGGCCACGCTCAAATGCACAAGCCATAAAAGATACACGCTCTGTTTAATTTTCTTAATGCGGAAGTTTTTACACATGCATGAATGCGTTCGATCCAATTAAGCCTTAAGAGCGGTAGAATAATCAGCCACGTCCAAATTTAAGAACTTTGCAACGTAATTTCGGAAAATTAAATACTGTTTCAGTTATATTTGTCGAAGCTCCGATTTTCGAGCGAAGCTTGTGACTTCGTCTTCAGAAAGTTTGGCGACGGTTCTAAACTACATTAGAGTAACTTTTTATTCGTCAGTAGAGATATATGAACGTTTACAAAGGCATTACTATTCAAAAAATCCTTACATGCCGAACGGCAAGGGCTCTCGATATTCCGTACTTGAAAGGCAGGGGTAATCCGGCCCCTATTTTGTGAAGATTATCTTCTTCACAACATTCATCAGTCTTCGAAGAAGCAGAAATAAAAAAAACCACGCGGGAAACACTTTTCTTCTTTCCATACCTAAACTGAGAGAAAACAGATAGGAAATGGTCTTAAAACTAGTGTACGCTCTCAGTTCTTTTGTACAGAAGATAGCAGCAGGTTTGTGTAATTGTGTATGTGAGGTTAACGAACATGTCACCAGGAATTTGTTGTGATGATGAGAGTAATTCATATAACTCATAGATATGTTTACTGTGCGTAATATATATCTCTTTCCTCCCAACATTGCAAGCAAAACTCCAACAGGGATTAACCAATTGTCAAAAAAAAACCCAAAACTGTTGCTATTTCCATTTCGATCCGTTTAGGAATGTAATAATGCGATTGATAAAAAAATTGACTTACTTAACTTTGGCGTTCATCGTGTTCTTCAGGGTAATTTGCACTGGTAATAACCTCAATATTTTGGGGTTCTTCATTTCTCATAGGACTCTGCCTCGTCGCTGATAGGGTCTGTTGTTGAATATTCCCTTGCTGCTGTCGAACCTGAACAGCTGTGAAAAACAGTTTCATGTAATACAGGATCCAAAGAAGAAACATCAAACATGCTAAGCTGAAACACTCTTGAGAGAAAAGCATGGCTCTCAGAACAGTTGAACAACAGGAGGAAAGAAACCTGCACGAAATTGTCTGAATGGACTGTCTTTGCGCCGGGGCGACTTCTGATTGTTTGATGAATAATCACGTGTACAGCCTTATTTCAACAACATCAAGCTCGGCTACTAGTGACGTCACGTTATAGCGAAATGGACTGTGACCACTTAAGTTAACTCGGTGCCACTTCAAGTACACAGGTTCAGCTCATGTCTCTTTGCGTCCACGGCCTAAATACTCGTTGAAACATTTTATAGGTTTATAGCACAGGACTGTGCTAGAGGAATGTGCGGCGACTGGTGATAATTATATGAATCATCGCGTGTACAGCCTTGTTTCTTAACACCAGTCTATTAGTATACAAAGAGGCGGAGTCACGACATAGTGAAACGTACTGTAACTTAGTTTAATATAGATCTCACGTAAGGGTCCTTTCATAAAAAATAACGGCCCTTTGTGGTCATGGTCGTAAATACTCGTTATGGCATCCTATAGGATTATAACCGTGAACTCTGGAGTGGTGAAAACCTCAAATAAAAGCTAAACCAGCATTCGGTACTCATAATGTCGAGTGTTGTCCGATTGATTTAAAATCTTCGTCTCAGTACAATAACAATGTTAAAGTATTTGCAATGTCTACCAATTTCGATTTCATCTCAGTTTTACTATAAATTTATAGGTGTATAAAAAAAATTGCTGGCTCAATTCAGAGATTTTGACAAGATGAAAATTAACCTTAAATTAAATGTAAAACAGTGGCAACTAACATCATGATGGCAAAATTACATCGACGCAACGGCACGCTGTAGGCCTGCTGCGCGCCCGCGTCCATTAACCTAGTGAAGTAGGTTGAATTTTCCAGTCCAATATAGCAGAAAGCCTAAAATGCTCCTCCGGGAGATACAAATTGGCACTGGTAAGAAACGAATTACGTAAGGAAACCGAAAATCTCAAAACTCATTGAAACTGAAACATATCGTCAAAACGTCAGAAAAATAGTAACCAGTTGGGAATATCTGTAATTTAACCAAAGAAAGAAAATGACGAGTATGTGAGAGGATCAATGTGTTCTTTAATAAGTGTAATTCATGGCAATTAGTGAGAAAAACAAGCACAAACGAAAGTTTTTTTTTTTTGCTGTCCGTCTCCTCGATACCTAGTTAAGAAAAGGTTAGAAAAAGTCTCCCTCTACGCAACTCTGACATTCATCATTTTCTAAGGATATTTTCAGTGTGGTGGAACTGTGTAATTTTTGATCTCTCGTCTTCTTCTCCCTCTTCTCCTCTCTCCAGTACTAGCCGGTCAACTTTGTTCTTTTCACTGGTACACGATGTTAATTAATGTTCTCTATCGGTTCCCTATGCCACCAAGCTCTGTCCATTTCAATCATAGGATCATCGATCCACAACACGGTAACAAAGATAGGACTGGAAATCCTTGAATTCACTGTATCCTTGAAAGTTGTCGGCAGAGACGAAACAAGCCGTTTAACTGGCGGTTTAGTCTCTCAAGTACAATTTCAGCTCGATCTAAAATCGGGTTTCTACTTATCTGGCAAAACTTTTATTCCCCAGAAAAGGAAACATGCGTGGAACTAGATCGCTATGGCCAGTAACGTTACAAAACCGTCTCAGGCTGTTGATTAAATTGTCATTGTTTCGTAATACAACTTGGACTTGCTATTTACTTTACTATATGATACCAGAGATGCCCGAAAACTAGAAAATTATCGAATTATAGTAACCACGATTGTCCAAGGAAATTCCTGACGAGAGGACGTACGCACTTGTATTTCAGGAGCGACGTTTCGAGACGCTTATCCGGCAAAGATGTGGTAAGGTCCAGCTAAGTAAAAGTAGCACGCACTGATAAACAAAGGCTTACACATGCCTCGTGGAGTGTTTGAAGAAAACTTTGAGACCTTTCCTCCCCGTTTGTTTCTGTGTAGCCTGAACCGAGAGTGGCAAGAATTCAGTTTGTTACTTTGGGTTTCCTGAAGCCGGTGGTCTTGGATCAGAGAAGTTTTTCAAACATTTCTAGTCATGTAGAAAATTTGCGATGTTTAAGATGATTGTTGTAGTTCCTCCGAAAAAACTTTACGCTCGGGACGTTATAGCCGTAATAATCCACAAAAGAGTGAATTTTTAACCCTCGCTGACTAGTCAAAATAGAGAGATTGCGAAAGTCATGTTACAAAGGTAGAAGCTGTTAGAAAGTTAGGGAAAGCCAGACTGCAAGGGAACGGAATCGCAAAAGAAGACTAATAGAGGAAGACGAGGATTGATCAAGTGATTAAGAAACAGCTAAAGATGTTAGAGATTCACCACCAACGTTGCGCTCCTCTTGTGTAGATTGACTTTGATCATACCTTTTTGTAAGATGTCCTAAGAGGAATAAGATCTTTAGCTCTGTGAACATAACTAAGAATTTATGTCTGAAAGCCTCCTCGCATATTTGGAGACAGTATGCCACCGTAACCTGCTGTGTTCTTTGGAGCTGATTTTTAATAGCTTTCTCTCCGTTTGGTCACTGGATGTCATTAATAAAGGGCAGAGATCAAAGTAATCATTTCTTGTCATGTTTTAGAGCATGTTCTAGAGCACAAGGAAAGGCACGGCGTCCTTGTGCTCTAGGTTTTATTTTGCAGCACAGTTTCCTTTTTTTCTGCAGCACTTAACGTTCGGTGGTCATTCATCTAGTCCACTCTCTAATATGTTACCTTTTTAAGCTTTTATGTACGCACAATACCCCAGAAAAAGAGTTAAAATGTAACTTCTTCCTACTGCAGTCAAACGTTATCAAGCAAACAGGTAGTGGGAAGATTCAAACTATCAGGTAAAAGTTGTTATCATGATCTAACACCACATTCTGGAAACTTATTTAGCAAGAGATGTGTGAAGTTAGAGGGGAGAATTAACAATCAGTTCTTGGGAGTTAAAGGGTTATCAGTTGGTTTTTATACTTGACTGATGAGCCATTAAGAATTTAGTCCTAACTCGTTCATTTTTGTATCAAGTTCACTTGGAGAATCCTTGATCATTGTGGTGTCTTGCTGAAAGCTTGCTGTGGGATTTTTTACAATATTATTTCATAAATAGATAAAATATTTTGAGTATCAAAATCTATTTCCCAGGTTACAGTAAATTGCACGTGGCGCTACATAAGCAATTTCTCTTAATTTCCAACTACTCTACGTCTCTCCCTTGGCAACACTGTCAAATAAGTTCCTAATGCTTTTATCTGGCACCGTAGCGGCGCTTGAGGCAAACAGCTATAATTAAAGTTTTGCAAGAGGAAGAATTCCAGCCGCACAACAAACTTCATCTGCCGCGCGTGTCCCAGTTTCAATCGCAGTAGGTACAGTCGAACATGACCTTGAACTTGTGGCTTCACCCGCAAAGAACAAGTGATCGTCAACAGGACTGGCGAGCACGTGACGGAGTTCGTAAGCATGCGCAGTGGGCGAGGTATATCCCCCGCGAATGTGAGGATGATTTGACCAATGGAAGTACACGAAGTCCATGAACGAGTCGCTAGCAGGGCTTGGGTCCGAGGAAGTGCTGTAATGAAAGAATGAAAAAGCAAAGTTACAGCAGCACTTAACAGAATGCAGGAGGCGTATTACAGTGCAAAAATAGTTACTTCAGTCCTATTCCATAATCGCGTCAATCAGTTTCCAATTTTTCTTTTCAGGTTTTGAAAAGCAGAAATTAAGTAAAAATAGCATAATTTTCAAAACCGAGCATAGATTTAGCCACAATCTATTAGGGCCTACTCATCTTTGCGGAACATTCATACCCAAATATCTCATCCAGATGACTCAAAAATCCTCTCAACACTTCCTGTCCGCTGAGATACCGTTTCTCTTCCGCGGGCTCAGCAGTTTCAAACCCGACAACCACGTGACATTTTTCGTCACTGTCGGGAAAATCATGTGAGCAAGTCCATATCTCACTAGCGAACCCACGAACGCTGTAAATTTGATGTAGCTTCTCCGGCCAGAAGCGGCGTTTGAAACGACAAGCGATTTAATTTTCCACGCGCCTAGCATCTGTATAGTGCGTATGGCCTCGTTCTTGTCAGCGGGAAGTGCTGGAGTGAAGGTTATGTCGCCATCTTTGAGGACTGTTAGTGGTACGGTAATGATCACGTGCTTGGCGGTCATCTCCCGGCCATGTTGATTTTTCAGAAGAATTTGTCCACTGTTGTTGGATCTCACCCTGTCTCCTGCCCAAAATATATGAATCCAGACATTCTTTCCTCGCCAAATATTTGTTAGCATGTGAATCCTTAAGCCCTCTTATATTCCATTCAAATGCAACTTTTTTAGGAGGACAAGGAAAAGGTGTTAAAATAAAAAAATGTAACCATCGCTAAGATACAAAGGCTTTGTAATAATCATATAGAAGCACAACAACTATGCCAACAATTTCAGAAAGAGGTTAACTGCATGAAACTCTCATGAAAGGACGAAACTCAAATCTAACAAAGGGAAAATGTTACACACAGGCAACTACAATTCTCTGAATAAACTACTGCTATAAATCAATTGCGCGCTGACAGTTTCCTGAACTAAATAAAAATTAAAACGCAAGAGCTAACCTTTCCAAACAACTTCCTTAACCTGCCAGTTAAGACGCTTATCCACATCCATACTGTTAACCAAGTAGTACTTCACCAGTTGTGAGTAAGATTCTGCGAGTCTAAAGGAAAAAGTTTCAATGACAAAGAGCGTTGGTACCTTGTACCAAAACAACTTCAAGTAAACAACTCAGTGTATGAAAAATTGACTACGACCCTGGTTTATCTTCAGAATACCACGAATTCTACAGGCAGACATTTTTATCACGAAATCGTAAACTGCCGCTTTTAACCCCAGGGCTTATACAACCTCGTAAGGGGTCTTTGGTGGGCTATAAACCTGGGGGATTATATACGAGGGGGCTTATAACCGGAATAGAAAAAGCGCTTCGAAACGAACTATATAATATAGCTAATCAAAATGTGTTTCCCATTTACTAGTTTTTGATCAAGCTTCAAATCGTCATAAAAAAAACCAGTTTATTTCAATGTATTTGGAACAGAATTAAAATTTATCACTCGAACAAAACTAGAATGTAGTAAAACGGAAGTTTAGTTCAGACTTTTCCCTTGAAGTTTATCTTTGCTTTCCTATTGTTACAATTTTAATGTCTAAATCACAGCAGAGTTCTTAACTATCAAAACAAGAAAAGCTAGGAAGGCGATTGAGCGCTGTGTTAAGCAACAGAGTACTTTTCGCGAGTTAAGCCTTGTCCTAGGAAAGTAAAGTTAAAATGAGGTTGTCTTTTTAAAAAAAAAACCAATTCAAAAACTATTTTACCTGCAATCTTCAATTCCCCACTCATATTTGGACTCCATTCTCCTCCGCCCTTCCCGCACTCCATAGTGATCCAAGGATCCTGCAGATATCTTCATCTTCCACCAATCAATTACATCCAACACGTCACGTGACAAGCCTTTCTCTTCAAGTCTCACCTTCACAGAATCAGACAAATATTCCGTTTCCTTTTCTTGATTTCTGTATTTGCTGTTGATCAGCTCGGCCCACGCTTCTCGAGCAAGTCTGATTTCCCGTTGATTACTGTTCGTCGAGTAGAGTTTTCCTTTGTGGAATAATTTTTCTCCTTCTTCCCCAGCTTCACATTGAGAGGCCTGAAAAAATGACATGTGCGTAAAATTTATCTGAAAGGCTTTTATGCATTAGGATGAAAATCTTCTATTATTAGAATGGCACTCGAAACAATTTTCACCATCATGAGCCTTTCCACGGCAAAAATGTTCTCAGGTGAAAGGAGATTGGCGACTTCAAAAAAATTCACCTAACGTATAGTGCACACCTCACTCCATTCCCCCTCAAAACGTGTTCATGAAAGATTATCACTTTAACATCAACTTAGTACTTGTACAACATTTATCCATGCAGATGGGAGGTTCAGCAACAACATACAAGCTTTGAATCTGTTTCACAAGCCAAATTTTTTGTAATTATAACAAATATTGTGACCTTAATGTTTGATTCAAGGGTGATATTGTGGGGAGAAATTAGAATCTAATCACTCTTAGGGGTTAAAGGTTAAAATAAGTTTAATACTTGCAGTAGTCTCCTGAGAAAATCAAGAGAAGTGTGGTTTATGATGCACTCTCAACATAGCTTTGGGTACACAACTGGGTAGAAAAATTGTTCAGTTCACCCTTAAACTCCCAGAAGTAATCAACATGTAATTTCTCCTTACAACATCCATATTATTATCCAACAAACAGCTAATGATAATACTAATAATAGGTATATTTAACACCAATTTCATCTTACTAATTTACAATGTCTAGCCACTAGGAAGGAGAATTGACAATCAGATCTTGGGAGTCTTTTTCCTCATCACTTGTCTGCTTGATATTATAAGGAAAATTTTTATGTTGATTACTCATGGGAGTTAAAAAGCATTGTTTTTTAAGGGTTTTATTTTTTGGTCACTTGATATGATTCACAGGTATTCTTTGATATTATTAATAATAAATTATTTTAAACTGAAGGTTGTTTAGACTTAAATACCAAAGCACCTTAGGGAAATAAGACATTTAACAAACCAGGACTTATTTCATTAAATCAAATCACCCTTCTTTAAACAAAAGAATATTTAAATTAGGAATAAGAAAAAAAATACTCATTTTAATTATAAATGGAGGATCTTGGCGCATTTCGTGACAGATGAAAAAAGACGATGGCCTTATTTTCCCAGCTCAGCGGTTCACCTCTTAAAGCCGTTACCTTCTAATTATTCAATTATAATAGCATCACTGAACGGCATCTAAAAGGTAGAAACTGACCTTATTTACCACTGAAATGGCCTCATTTACTAACTGCAGTCTGATATGATTCAATTCTTCGAGTTCGTTGAGTCGCTCAGCTGTAGAAATAAACTTTACGAAGCGATAGTTTCCGCCAGCAAAGTACTGCACAAATATTATTTCACATGCAATGTGGGATAGGTTCTCCTTTGCTGTTTTCTCCCTTGAAGCCACCAGAACAGTTTTCATTCGATTTTTAGCTGATTGTCTTCGTCGAAGGAAATCCCCAAGGAAGGCTCTTTCGGTATCCGTAATGGATTTAGCAGACTTCAATAATTCCTCCTCTATCTCAGGGTTGAATTTTTCGCTAAAGTTGACAATTCGCATTATGAACAATTACAAAGCATTTAGAGGCAACCAACCTACAATTCGGCATTAATCTGCGACAGGCACCCTGTAGACGGCTGCAACGCGAGAAAGACTGGTACCTAGTATCTCCTTTAAAACGGGGTTGGGAAGTTACGAAATTAATTATAAGGATTGAGTCGATTTAGTGGAAAATACAAAACTTGCTTCTTCCGGCCTGTAAACACTCCCCACACAAAATGCCTTCAGTGCAAGACTTCCTTGTTCTACTGGTTGTCGTTCTTCTGTTGATGATCCTATATTTCTTGATGAGAATGGACAGAGCTGTGCGGCATAGGGTAACAGCAGACAATAACTTGGAGCGGCGTGCAGTAAGAAGACCGGAGTTCATTAGAAATGTGCAGGGAAGAAGAAGAATTGGGGGCGAAAACCATTGCGTTCCGCCTAACAGGAATCGTCCCACCGAAAATGATGAACGCCAGGGCTAAAAAAACAGGGTATGCTGTTTAAGAACCTTTTTCTGCATCACTTAGATAAGTTGTTAAATACATTAACAATTTCTGAAAAATGACAAAACCTCGTAGAATATTCATGACGACGTTTTGACATCGCTTCACTGTCATTGTCAAGTCCAATAATATTGAATTGAACTTTAAAATCAAATGTTTCTCCAAATCTGTTCTTAAACGCAGTTAGATAAGTTTCAGAAACTCAATTACATGTAAAGATCGTAAAAATTTCTAAGAGATTCGTTCGCTTTATTTTTAGCCACTATTAAATTTATTTACATTTACGAATTAATTACTCCATCCGCTTTTGAGGAAAGCTTCCAAACACTTCTCACGTTAAATGTTTACAACAAATTCCTCGACTTTCTGTTCATTTTCCCTGTGCAGGTCCTTGGAGACGAACGAATCGAGGGAACCTACTGTTTATGGTACTTTGAGGCCGGAAAGGCGTAAATACGACATCTGAACTTTTTTGGTTGTAAGGTGAAGAGCTTAGTTTGGTCATTTTCAGAAGAAATAGGTAAAGTGGAATAGCTGAACGAGATGAACAGATAAATTGTATCAGTATTTTCATGTTTTTTATGGCTCTGAGAAGCTTTATCTTATAAAAATAAAAGAAAGGGGCTGATGGTATTTTCTGTCTCAGCTTGTCGAGAATTGTTACTAGCCTGATGAAGCTTCTAAGTCATGTCTGTATTTTTTATTTTTATCCAACTGCACGAAGTAGTGTACAAATAATGCACGAATCAACAACAAATATAGGTTTTTATACAGTACAAAATAATCATCTGTCCAAATCTAGCGTGAAACTTCGCCGGAAACGAGGAACTGCTCGTAATCTATGCACTTGCTATCTGTATCAAGAATGAAGCTTGTAGGTCCATATTTTGTCGTAGCGTATCTAATTACATGATCTTCCTAGTCAGGCTAAGGTTACCTGTAGGCAGAGTCATGGTCAAGATATATGTCTTTTGATTGTTAATTGATAAATGTTCCTGTGATTTTAAATCTCTTAGTTTGTCCTCAAATTGGATTTAATGTGTCGCCTTGAGCTTGTTTACATGAATACATTGTCCTAGTGAAGATAGCCTATAATGCTACTAGCATTGCTTCATTTTTTCCCCAAATTACGCTTGTTTTTGGAAATTACGATACTTTCCCTTAAATTCCAAATTATATATTTATTTTTAAAAAAGCACGATATCTTCTGTATTTTGAGTTACGTACTTACTCTGATAAAACATAATTTACTACTGCACTTAATTCAAGACTAAAAGCGGTGACTAAATGTGTCGAAATGTACGATGTTAGAGAGCATCGCGTTTCTCTTCGACGCCATCATGTTGCCTCTGAAAGTGGGAACTGGGGCAGACGCAATCTTAATAATTCTAAATCACATTGTTAAACTCTCCCACTGACGCAGCACCACAGTTTCTTTAGAAACTTACCCCCTTTATTGAAAATAATCAATCTTAGAGATCAAACGAGTTTTGACTCTGGTAATGTCCCCCTCCAAAAAACTAAACCTACCTTGGCGGATCTACAGGATCTTTAGGAATCACTAGACTGAATCCCAAAATAAACTGTTTTCCGAGTACGCAGCGAAAACATGCGGCCATATTTTATGCAAAATACTCTTGATAAGATGAGAAAAGTGTTTCGAAAATCTCGAAAATCCATTTTAAAAATTTTTCATAAGCAAACAATTTCTGTGTATGCACAGACGTTTGTTTCAATCATAATTTCTGAGAGCTATGCACTGGCACGCGAAAAAGGTTGATTGAGGTCAATTTCTTAACATCATTGGTCCGAATTGGTTCCACTTCTGGCTGGCTAAGCACATTGTGATGAATTGAAAGTAAAATATAGGTCACTAAACTTCATTTTTACTCTTAACTGAAACTAGATTTTGTACGGCTTACTTGTTGCACTTCCGCTGACTCG